GGGTATTAATAGGGTTTTTAAAATATAAGCCTACAAATTCTTCGATTTGCCCCTTTCAAGAGGTACAGTCTAATTCTCCTCACTTTAGTATGGGGGCTGGACACAGTTACTTGCCTCCAATAAATTTTTTAAAAAAGAGCAGGATAAATGGTATGTGATTCCAAGGTCTAGATCATAAAAGTTATTGTATCTACATCTTTCTATCTTAAAGCATAGGGGAGATATCAAAGGGCACTGAAGTAAATCCCATATGATGAAAAACTGAGACCCATGGCCAGTCACCAGGTAGGAAGTAGGGCATCCTTCCTTTGGACAGATGTCCCTCCTAAAGAACATCTAAAGTGTCCTTTAGAAAACTCTCTTACCTCTAAGCAATGTAAGAGGGTCATCTTAGGAAAGTATCATCCAGTTCCAGTTCAGTGATCTGACAATCACCACGCCAGCCAAATGCTTAACTGCAACTTCATGACATACCCCAAGTTTGAATCACCCAGCAAAGCCACGTATGGACTACTGACCCTCAGAAACTCCACGAGATAAAAATATCTGTGGTTTTAAAGTAAGTTCTGAGGGTCATTTGTTCCATAGAAAAAGTAGTTTTAAAAGCCTAAATGACATATTGATAGCTTACAGTGAACAATATCGGATTCATGATCTCCAAAGATTTAGCTTCGGGACCAGGGATCAGGCTTGACCACTCAAGAGCTTTTGTGTGGCAGAGTTTGTTAAAGTGGAAGAAGACAAAGACGGGTTCTGACACAGACGTCAGAAGGAGGCAGAGCGCCCCCCTCACCAGTCTAAGGAAGGGAGCTATACTCTTTTTTCAATTAATTATTACAATAAATCAAAGGAATGGCTCAGTGTTGTAAAGATTTACCAGATCACTCCCATAATATACATTTTAAGATGACAGGACTAGTCAGAAGATTTTTCAAGAAGGAGAAACTTTCCTCAAGCAGGATACATTGTTGTTATATAATCCTTATGAAGGAATATTGAAAAAAGCCACTTGTCCTTTCCTCCTCCTTGAGAATTCCAGACCTGTATCTCCTCCTTGAGAGCCCCAGACCCCTTTCTCCCCCTCGGGGACCCCGGACCTCTTATCAGCCTGCCTAGGAATTGATTCTATGGAGAGAAGAGAACCCTTCTACACTGTTGGTGGAATGTAAAAATCGGTACATCTACTACAGGAAACAGTATGGGCGTTCCTTAAAAAATTAAAAATAGAGATACCATATGACCCTGCAATCCCACTCCTGGGCATATACCCTGAAAAAAAACATGACCCAAGAAGATGCATGCACCCCAATGTTCATTGCAGCTCTATTTATGATAGCCAAGACATGGAAGCAACCTAAATGTCCATCGACAGAGGGATGGATAAAGAAGATGTGGTACATGCATATATTACTCAGCCATCAAAAAGAATGAAATAATGTCTTTTTCAGCAACACGGATAAACCCAGAGAGTGTCATACTCAGAGAAGTCAGACAGAAAAGTAGAAATGTTGAATGACTCCTTATCCCTTACATGTGGAATCTGGAAAGCAATGATACAAATGTACTTACTTACAAAACAAACAGACTTACAGACTCAGGGAACAAACTTACGGTTTCCGGGGGGAGGACAGGGGGAAGGGAGGGTCAGGGAGTTTGGGGTGGACGTGTATGCTCTATGTTTGAAATGGATGACCAACAAGGAGCTACTGTAGAGCACAGAGGGCTGCTCGGTGCTATGTGCAGCCTGGATGGGAAGGGGTTTGGGGGAGCGTGGACACAAGCTTGTGCACGGCCGAGTCCCTTCACTGCTCACCTGAAGCCATTACAAAACTACTAACTGGCTATACTCCAATGCAAAATAAGAAGTTAAAAAATAATAATAAATGAGAACTAATCAAATGGAAAAGTTTTTGCACAACAAAGGAAACCATGAACAACACGAAAAGATGATCTTCAGCATGGGAGAAAACATTTGCAAATGAAGTGATGGACTACAATTAATCTCCAAAGTATACAAACAGCTCATGGAGCTCAATATGAAGAAAAAAAAAAGCTAATCTTTTAAAATTTATTTTTGTTATAAAATAAATGCACACAGGTGCATTAGAGTTGAGACAGAAACCACTTGACAAGTCTTAATTTCTCATTAACACGTAAACCAAGACATATTATGTATCATCTGCCAAACGCAGAGTCTGTTGACAGTCAAGCCAGGACATTTCAAACTTAAAAGGACAGGTTTTCCCTCATTTAAAGAAATAATGGCATATTGAGGAAAATGCAGTAAGGATGCTCTGCCCTCCAGAATCATGGTATTCTGAAGGAGCTGAGTTCAGTTCAGTCAGTTCAGTCGCTCAGTCCTGTCTGACTCTGCGACCCCATGGACTGCAGAACACCAGGCAAGCTGAACCTGAATGTAAATATTTTGTTAAGGATCTAGAGCATGGTTTTATCCTTCAAGTTGCTTTTACCAGTTGTATCTTATCACTATAAAATGTACTTTTATAGAAATAGAAAATAATGCTAAGGGAAAAAACAGTACGTGAATGCCTTCTACATCAGCTCTGCTCTCAAATATGAGGTAATTCATGTTGGAGAATGCACCATGAATAAAGTACATGGCCTCCCATAACAGTGACATACAGACAACTATTTAGTATTTATTAGCTGGAATTAAATAGGAGTATAAGAAAACAAGAAAACTGAGGAGAACTAAATTTCTCACCAAGATGGTCAGAAAAATGTTACAAAGTTCAATTTCTTTTGTCTAGATACAAACCAAGTATGCATGACAAAAAAAGAAAAAAATAGACTTTTTTTTCCTGTAAATATGACCAACTCACCACAGTTAATGATCTAATTATAATACAATGTCTCCTTTTAGAGAGAAGATATTTATGTCTTTTTCTGCATGGCTAACACCATAATATAAAGAGTATATTAAATTTATCAGGATATTATACAGTCTCTTTCATAGATGAAAAAAAACTATAGTCCCCTAGGTAGTACAAATAAAATAACCTAGAATGAAATAACCCATATGTATATTAAAATAGAATTGTGAAAATGAAGCCTGCCAGATATTAGAAGAAATGATCTCATTATAAAATCCTCAGGTTCTCATTTCTTGGAAAAAGCCCTAATTGTAACTTTATCTTTTTAGTGGCCAATTACTGTATTCCACATATTTTCTGAAATAAATGCTTTGCTATTTTTATGACATGCCTATCTGTATTTCCAATTCCAAGAATAGTAATCTACAATATAGCCATTCTCATAAGTAAGAAATCTGGAAAAATGACATTGTTCTATCAAAACACAAGTGAGGAAAAAAGCCTTTAAATTTTAGATGAAATGTAAAATAGAAATCCTTTATTAGCATAAATAAAGTAGCTTAGATGAGAATCTTGCTATCTCTTCAATTTATCAAATTAGGTCATTAGAGCCTTCTAAGACAAGAATATACTCTGCTCTTGAGCCATACAAAGGAAATTGGCCAACTTATCTAAATGAGTTAGTTTCCTGTGTTAACAGGAAATGGTAGCTGATTTGCATTCCCAAAATATAAAGCTTTTAAAAACTCTTACGATACTATAGAGTATGACTTGTCCTGTACAAAATAATGATCTTATTTTGCATTCTTGTTCATAAACTGGACATTCACAATGTAAGCCCTGCTCTCAAGGTTACTGTATGTGGTGACGGAGAGGCTGGCGAAATGCGTGTGGACTGGAAGTGTGACCATGTCCCCACAGCACACCCTCCTCCAACACACGCCCTGAGAAACACAACCCAAAAAGGCACTCAGTTTCCCAACGAGACCACTGTTCTCATACTTCATCCCTGAAATCATTTGGAAGATTAAAGCAAAAAAGTTCTATCCAGCCTCATTAGAACATGCTTGATATTTGAGTATCATTCAGAAGATGATGGGCTATCACTGCTGAAAAGTTAGACACAGCTCCAACTATCTGACAATTGACATGATTGGATCCTCCCCTTCCTCTAAAGAATTGGCTTCAGAAAAAGAACCAGCTGACATAAACTGCTGGCTTTCATACTGAGCAAATGAATGGAGTCCTGGTAAACCAGCTTGGAAACAGTCAACCAAGCATTACAGGGAAAATGACACTTCAAAATTCTGAGTGCCTCTGGTTTACCAAGATGCTGAAAATGTCTTCTGAGTCTGGTTTTCTAAATTTTAGCTTCTGAAATCACTTATTCTCTCAAGTTTTAGGTTTTCTTCAATAAAGTGAACTATTTAAGTAGTCTGGAGGTGAAATTGATGTTCAAATCTCTCTTGGATTACAGTTTAGGGTTTCGCAACAGCAGTAATATTGACATTTTGGAACAGTTTTTGTGTGTGTGTGTGTGACATATTGGAACAGTTTATTCTTGGTTGTATGGGGCTGCCCTGCGCATTGTAAGATATCAACAGCAGTTTTGACTTCTACTCCCTAGATTCTAATGGCAATCGTCCCACTCCCCCTCAGCAACTGTGACAACTGAGAATTCTTCAGACATTGCCAAATGTCCCTTGGGACGTAAAAAGCTCCACCCACTGAGGTCCCCTAGATTCGCGCCTTTTTTTTTTTTTTTTTTTTTTTACATTTCTTATGGGGATGAAGAAGAGATAAGACTGTATAAACAGCTGAAGAGAGGAGATTCAGATGACAGAGTAGGGAAACGGTGAGCTCACCTCTTCACACAGACACACCAAAAGTACAACGGAGAGAGGAACTCTCTGGAAACAACCTAAAGGCAAGCAGAGTAGCTCTTCTAAACTGGGGAGACAAAGGGAAAATCGCATCGAGATGCTCAGAAGGAGCAGAAATGCAGTCTAGTCAGGACCCGCAGCTCTGAGGAGCAACCCAAGGGTAGAAGGGGAAATCAGAAACTGAGCTTTTCCACAGGACGCGAGCTTTTCCCGTGTTGGACAAACCCCCTTAAAGGGCTCGGTCGGGTGAGTCACAGGGCTGTAAGAAACCCAGGCTCCGCGCTTACACTTCCTTGCTCCGCGTCCGGCACGGAGGCAGCACGTCGAGCCGCGCCCGCTGCTTTGGCCAGCCCTCCAGGACCATTCTCGCACATCCCTCAGCCCCATCGCGCTCTGCTCCCGCCTCTGCCTCTCCGCCAGGGCGGTGACCTCCGGCCCGTCCAGGACAGACCCCGGCTTGCCCGGACCCTGGCTCTGCACAGCTCCACCACAGCGGCGGGCTTGGCCCGCCCCAGGAAGAACCTTGGTTCACGACCAGCTTGGCTCCAAAGCAGAACTCTTTTGGCTTCCCACCGAATCCATTTGAGACAGTTTGCATAGGGGCGCTCCACATAAAGACGTGCCTTCCCCACCCTCAGGGAGGATGCAGAGCACCTGCTTGAGTTCCCCGAGTCATTTCAGCAAATTCCCGTTGGCTCTCTATTTTACATCCGGTGATGCAAGCTCCAGGTCACTCTGCAGACCTCTCACCCTCTCCTCCCCTCTCCCCACGTGCATGAGTCTATTCTCTATGTCCGTTTCTCCACTGTTGCCCTGTAAATAACTTATTTGGTACCATTTTTCAAGATTCTGTATATATGTGTTAGAATATGATATTTATCTTTCTTTTTCTGACTCACTTTACTCTGTATAACAGGTTCTAGGTTCATCCACCTCATTAGAATTGACCCTAATGTGTTCCTTTTTATGGCTGAGTAATATTCCATTGTGTATATCTACCACAAATTCTTTATCCATTCATCTGTTGATGGACATCTAGGTTGCTTCAATGTTTCAAAAGGGAGGGGATATATGTACACCTTTGGCTGATTCATGTTGAGGTTTGACAGAAAAACAGCAAAATTCTGTAAAGCAATTATCCTTCAATAAAAAAATAGATTAATTAAAAAAAACATACCTTTAAGACAGGGACAGGTAACCATTTCACTAATTCATAGAGATCAACACAGACAATCAAACAAAATAAGAAAACAAAGGAATATGTTCCAAATGAAAAAACAAGATAAAAATTTCAGAAAAATAATTCTAATGAAATGAAGATAAGTAATTTATTAGATAAAGAACTCAAAGCAATGGTCATAAAATTGCTCACCAAACTCAGGAAAAGAAAAGGTGAAAACAGTGAGTGTCTAATTCTTCAACAAAGAATTAGACAATATAAAAAAGTCTAGAGCTGAAGAACGCAACTGAAATGAAAAGTACACCACGGGGAGTCAACAGCAGACCGGGTGAGAGAGGAGCGTGCGTAAGTGACCTGAAAGCAAGAATAGTGAAAATAAGCCAAAGCAGCAAAAAGAAAAGGAATGTAAAAAACAAAGATACTTCAAGAGACACTTGAAACAACACCAATTGCAATAACATTAATATTACCGGGGTCCCAGAAAGAGAAGGGAACGAGAAAAGAATAGAAAATATATTTGACAAAATAATGACTGAAAAATTCCCCAACTTGGGGAAGGAAACAGAATCCAAATCCAAGAAGTGAAGAGAGCCCCAAACAGGAGGAACCTAAAGTGATCCACACCAAGATATATCATAATGAAACTGACAGAAGTTAAAGAGAGACTGTTAAAGGAAGCAAGATAAAAGCTAAGAATCATGTACAAGGGAACTCCCATAAGGCTAGTACCTGATTTTTTAGCAGAAACTTTGCATGCCAGAATAAAATGAAATGACACTATGTAAAGTGCTGGGAGCCAAAAATCCTCCAAGCATGGATACATCAGACTGCAAAATTATCATTTAGGAAAAGGATAGATCAAGAGTTTCTCAGATAAGCAGAAACTTTAAAAAGTTTATTAGCAATAAACTAGCCTTGCAAAAAATATTAAAGGGCAATATTTAAGTGAAAAATAAAAATCCATAACAAGAAATAAGAAAATATATTTTTAAAACTTACTGTAAAGGTACATATATAATAAAGGCAGTGACTCAAACTTAAAAAGCTAATATGAAAGTTAAAAGACAAAGGTCATAAAATCAACTATAATCAACTTTCTTTTTTAACTATAAGCAGTTAAAGAATAAAGGAAAAGGTCTAAAATATTTAATCAGAAATATAAAACATGTCAGGGGAGTATAAACTGCAGAGCTTTTAGAAGGTGTTCAAACTTAAATGACTAATGGCTTAAAAAATACACACACATGTTGATATGTATGACACTCACATCTATACATGACTACTGGAAAAACCATAGCTTTGACTATACAGATATTGTCAGCAAAGTGATGTCTTTGCTTTTTAATACACCGTCTAGGTTTGTCATAGCTTTCTTTCCAAGGAGCAAGCATCTTTTAATTTCATGCCTGCAGTCAACGTCCACAGGATTTTGAGGCCCAGGAAAATAAAATCTGTCACTGCTTCTACTTTTTTCCTTTCTGTTTGGCAAGAGGAGATGAGTGGGACCAGAAGCCATGATCTTTGCTTTTTGATCCTTGAGTTTTAAACCAGCTTTTTCACTCTCCTCTTTCACCCTCATCAAGAGGCTCTTTAGCTCCTCTTCACTTTCTACCCTTAGAGTAATATCATCTGCATATCTGAGGTTGACATCTCCTGGCAATGTTGATTCCAGCTTAGATTCATCCAGCCCAGCATTTCACATGATGTACTCTCCATAGAAGTTAAGTAAGCAGGGTGACAATATACAGCCTTGTCATACTGCTGTCCCAGTTTTGAACCAGTCAGTTGTTCCATGTAAGGTTCTAGCTGCTGCTTCTTTGCCCGCATACAGGTTTCTCAGGAGGCAGATAAGGTAGTCTGGCATTCTCGTCTCTTTCAGAACTTTGCACAGCTTGCTGTGATCCACCCAAAGGCTTTAGCATAATCAATGAAGCAGAAGTTTTTCTGGAGTTTCTTTGCTTTCTCTAAAATCCAGCGAATGTTGGCAATTTTGTCTCTAGTTCCTCTGCCTTTTCTAAAGCCAGCTTGTATACATCTGGTAATTCTCAGTTCACAAACTGCTGAAGCCCAGCTTGAAGGATTTTGAGCATCACCTTACTAGCATGTGAAATGAGCACAACTGTCCTGCAGTTTGAACATTCTTTGACATTGTCCTTCTTTGGGATTAGAATGAAAACTGACCCTTTCCAGCCATCCCCTCCTCCAGTAGACCACATTCTGTAAGAAGTCTCCAGTATGACCTGTCCATCTTGGGTGGCCCTGCAAGGCATGGCTCATAGCTTCATTGAGTTACCCAGGCCCCACGACAGGGCTGTGATCATGACATATAGATAATTAATAAGTACATCAAAGGATGCTCAAAGTTGCTAATTATTAAAGAAATACAAATAAAAACCATAATGAAGTATCAACTAAGTCCTTTCAGAATGGCCATCATCAAAAAGTCTAAGAAAATAGCAAATATTAGAGAGGATGTGGAGAAAAGGGAACAATTGTACAGTTTTGGTGGGAATATAAATTGGTGCAGTACTTTGGAAAAGAGTATGGAGGTTTCTTCTAAAACTAAAAATGGAATTAGCATATGATCCAGCAATTTCACTCCTGAGTATATACACAGAGAAAATGAAAGCTGCAACTTGAAAAACCTACATGCACTTCAATGTTCATAGAAGCACTACTTACAATAGTCAAGACATAAAAGCAGCCCAAGTACCCACAGACAGTTGTTTTAAGAAGAGATGATAGATCGATAGATAAATAGATAGAAAACAGACATAGACACAATGGAATAATATGAAGTCTAAAAAGAATGAAATACTGCTATTCATAGCAATTGGATAGACTTAAAAATGTGCTTAGTGAAATGTCAGAGAAAGGCAAACACCATATGGTATCAGTCATGTGTGGAATCTAAAAAACAATACAAGTGAACGTATATGCAAAACAGAAACAGACTCACAGATATAGAAAATAAACTTGTCATTACCAAAGGGGAGAGGGGAGGGATATGCGATTAAGAAACTATAAATATAAAATAGATAAGCAACAAGCTGGTAAAGAGTCCGCCTGCAATGTGGGAGACCTGATATTAATCCTTAGGTTGGGAGGATCCCCTGGAGAAGAGAAAGGCTACCCACTCCAGGATTCTGGCCTGGAGAATTCCACGGACAGAAGAGCCTGGTGGGCTCCAGTCCACGGGGTCACGAAGAGTCAGACACCACTGAGTGCGTGACTCACTCATAGGGAAGCACATCTACTGTCTTGCAATAACCTTCAATGGAATACAACTTGCGAAAATTCTGAATCCCTATGCTGTACACTGAAAACAAACCACCTCATTTAAAATCACATCAGCAGACACGCTCTTGGTCTCGGTGGCCGCTCCCTTGACGTGTACTGGATAAATCCCACCTTCTCCCCCACTTCCGACTCAGTAAATTCTTTCACCATCCATGCGGTTTTCCGCATGGTTTGGTGCTCAAACAGGTGCCTCTCTCCCTTCTGTCTGCCTTCTGTGATTCATCTGCCAACACGTGGCCATCAGCCTACTGACTCAGGGCGATTCAGGGCTCCTGGTCGGGGTACTCCTCTGCGGGAACGGAAGCCCTTTGGCACGGGACTCCAACTTGCTGTCGCCCTAAAGGACACGTTCTGGAAATGGTCTTTCCTCTTCAACGCTGCCGATGGTGTGAGGCCCCTGAAGACTGGGGATCGTACCTCCCGGCCCAGGCAAGTACTCAGCGGACCTGCAGGCTGGTCCCACACCTACTGGCTGTCCCTGCCCGGTGGAATGGCCACGTTCTCCGGCCCTGGCTTCAGGACCCCTCACCCCCAACGCCTTCCTTGTGCAGTCAGCAGCTCAGCAAGGGAGAATCTAGACATGCTGTGAGATCCCTTTCTCTTTCCACCTTCTCTTGAGCACTATGCATCCCGATCTGCCAACATCTCCAGGTGCTTCACATGAATCATTACAAAACTGGTGAATTTCTCCTCTTGGCTAGCCCGAGATCTCTTTCTACTCCCTCATCTTGAGCTGATCACCCAAGATGGGACGCCGATCAGCCAGACGTCAAGAGGCCCTCTGTCAGACAGTGTTCCTGGAGAGGCCCTCTATTCCTGGGGGAAGCCCCGTCTAGAGCACGGCCTCAGCTCCCTTGTGGACACAGTGAGGCCCATCTCCTTCTAGGGACGCGTTTTGGGTAGAGGCTATGCATGGCCATGGCTTCCCAGGTGGCTCGGCAGTGAAGAATCCTCCTGCCAATGCAGGAGAGGCAGGAGACCCAGGTTCGATCCCCGGGTCGGGAAGATCCCCTGGAGGAGGAAGTGGCAACCCACTCCAGTACTCTTGCCTGGAAAATCCTGTGGACAGAGGAGCCAGGCAGGCTGCAGTCCATGGGGTTGCAAAGAGTCAGACCCGACTGAGCAACTGAGCA